TTTTTGATAACACAGAGGTAATAATACTGCCTCTTTAATAATAAGAGTTCTCTCTCTCTCTCTCTCTCTCTCTCTCTCTCTCTCTCTCTCTTTTGAGATAGAGTCTCATTCTATCACCCAGCCTGGAGTACAGTTGCCTGATCTTGGAGGTCACTGCAGTCACGCCTCACAGGCTCAAGCAATTCTTCTGTCTCAGCCTCCAGAGTAGCTGGGACTGCAGGCACACACCACCACGCCTTGCTAATTTTTTGTATTTTAGGTAGAGACAGGGGTTTCAGCATATTTTTCAGGCAGATGTTGAACTTCTGACCTCAGGTATTCCATCCACCTCGGGCTTCCAGAGCCCAAGTATTACAGGCATAAGCCACTGTGTCTGGCCAGTAATACAGTTCTTCCATAAAGTTTATTTGAAATGTAGTTCAGGCCCCAGCAACTGACTTATAGACTGTCATATAGAAACAAACTGAGTCAAAGCCCTCTTAAGTTACAGCTTTTGAGAATAAGTCCTTAAATCAATAGCTTATAATTTTCGGATGCTTTTGTAAAGGTCTGCTTTTGACAAATACATAACACATTTGTAACACACATCAGTTTCTTTGAAGTATGCTGGAGCACTGATATAGGTTCTAATACCAGCTCTTACAACATTTGTGAGATTCTGGGTGAATCCTTTAAGTTCTAAAGCTATCTTTGGTCTTAAAAATAATGAGTTTAAGTAAGATATTTTGATATTTTCCATTCTGGTTTTTTCATACTCTGATCCTGTTGGGTAGAATACGTAGGATACAGAGATCATCTGCTGTGCATGATTTGTTTATCCTAAATCATCAAACCCTGATCTGACTCATCTTAAAACATGTGAATTGAGATTTCATTGCTATTAAGAAAGTTAGTGGGCACCCTGCTTCATGTTTTTTTTTCTGTGTTGAGACCTGAATGCCTACTCTTAGATTCTGTATAATTCTGAATTCTCTTGAATTTTTGTTTGTTTGTTTTTGAGACACAATTTTACTCTGTAACCCATGCTGGAGTGCAGTGGTACGATTTCAGCTCACTGTAATCTCTGTCTTTCAGGCTCAAGTAATACTCCCACCTCAGCCCCTTGAGTGGCTGGAACTAGAAGCATAAGCCACCATGCCTGACTAATTTTTTTTTTCTTTTTTTGAAAATTTTTTTTGTAGAGATGAGGTGACACTATGTTGCCCAGGCTGGGATTCTCTGACTCTTAATGAATAATTGATTTTTAAATCTTTCCCCACAGAAACCTTGAGTGACTGATTATGAAATGGCAAGAGACTATTTAGTTTCTATTTTCTGTGGGATGTAGGTCACTGATGCTCAGGATCGGTGTAAGTAAGATGCCTGTGCGAAGCATGCTCCCTGCTGCACTGTCAGTTTTCATGAGCCACTATTTCTAATAAGACCTGTAGATACATGTAGTATATAATCATCTCTAATCTATCATATATTACATGTAAGTTTCACCTTTTGAGACATGAGTTAATAAGATTTGAACTTCAAAGACCATGACGTTAGTACCTCCTGAGTAATCAACTGAAGTATGTTTTACATACGTGTTTTCCAGATTGCTGACTTAATTATAAGTGCTTCTGAATTTAAAGGAAGCACTTGATGTTTAGGAAGAAATTAACCTTTAAATTCCACGTGTCTACGCTTAGTCTATACAGAGTTGTAATTGGATGTAAGATGCAGAATCACCCATAGGGTTCTGTTTTTAGTGCATTTTATAAAACCCAAGCTGTAGTGTCCTTTGTTTGCCTTTTGGGTCATCTAAATAATCTGTTGCTAAGTCATGTTCCCAACTGTTATGTTTCTGTTTCAGGTGAAGGGCAATCACAGTGTTAAAAGAAGATACACTGAAATGATGCAGGCTGCTCCTATGTTGGAAATTTGTTCATTTAAGTTCTCTCAATAAAGCTTTATAGCCTTCTGCAAAGAAGTCTTATGCATCTTTTATGATTTTATTTCTAGGTATTTGATGCTGTGAAATATGTATCATTCTTTGAAATTTTATATCCTGTTTGAACTGGTATGTAGAGAGATAATTCTTATATATTGATTTTGTATCCAGCAACCTTGTTAAATATGCTTATGAATTCTTAAAGTTTACTTTGAGATTGTTTTCAGTATTTAACATACAGAATGATATAATCTTTGAATATGAACAATTTTGTTTCTGCCATTTTTTAAATTTCCTTTTGTACTTTTTGTGGAGACCTGGTTTTGTTATATTTTCCAGGCTCTTTTTGAACTATTGAGTGCAAGTGATCCACCCCCCTCAACCTCCCAAAGTGCTTGGATTACAGGCATGTGCCACTGCACTGGGCACATTGCTGCCATTTTGAACACTTTTCATTTCCTTTTCTGATTTTATGGCATTGGGCAGACCCACCTGGTACAATGGTGATAGTGGACATCCTTGTCTTAACCCTGATGAGAAATGGAAACATTTCAACATTTCACCATAGTATTTACTGTACTTTTTTTTTGTAGATGGACTCTGTTGGAGTAAGTCATTCCATTCTGTTCTACTTTGCTGATTCATTTTGAATATATGTCGAGTTTTATCAAACAGTGCATCTATTTTGATGATTACAGCATTTTCCTATTAATCTGTTAATGTAATGAATTAGACTGATACATTTGTACTTTTTTATATTGTATATTTAAAAATTGAGACAGGGTCTCACTCTGTCACACAGACTGGAGTGCAGTGGTGGTATCACAGCTCACTGCAGCCTTGGCCTCCTAGGCTCAAGTGATCCTCCCATCTCAGCCTCCTGAGTAGCAGTGACTATAGGTACATCCCACCATGCCCAGCTAATTTTTCTATTTTTTTTTTTTTTGTAGTGATGAGCCTTTGTCATGTTGCTTAGGCTGGTCTCGAACTCCTGAGCTCAGGCGATCTGTCCAGCTCAGCCTCCTAGAATACTAGGATTTCAGGCATGAGCCTTGACCTGGCCAGATTTTTCTTATATCGGAGTCCTAGACTAACTTTTGTGCAGGCGGGCTAACAGCGTGATGAAATTTATCATTCAATTGATTTAAAGAAAACTATCCTTGACTTTCCAGTGTGTAAGTACGTGAAAGCATAATGATTTTTAAAGCATATATTGCTATGGGTGTTGGCACCCCTGCATTTTCCTTTGCTGTGGGAGCATGTCCTTGTAGGTACCTTCAGTTTGTTTTCTCAACTACAAACATGTTAGGGCCATGGGTTGTGACTGATAAGGAATGCATCTTGCTAATTTCAAGATGGAGTTCATTTTCAAATGGTATCACTTTAGCTGCCCTAGGCTCCTGTTTCCCTAATACTGTCACTTCTCATTCTGCAATTGTGATGCTATAAATAATGTTTTAGTATTTTCTTACAGGTCCTTGAAGTCGTATTCGTTCTTCTTTGTCTCTTTCTTTTACTTGTTCATGTTGAACAATTTCTTTTTGGGGTAGGTTGCTATTTCTGTTTTAGCAGGTGGTCTACCTGTCTTCCCAGGCAGTCACCATGGTCCTTGTCCCCATGGTGGGGCCAGGGCAAGAGAGGGCCCTGGAGGGGAGGGGAGCTCAGTTGAAGATGGAGTGACTTTTGAGGGGGGCACTATTTAAGGTATATGAGTCCCAGAGGCATAGGAAACAGCAGCAGGAGGTGGGATTCCATTATCCTCAGTGGGGATGGGAATTGGGGGTTTCGAGTGTGATGCTGGTAACGGCAGCCCTCCCCGTCCCACCCACAGCCGCGCATGCTCCTTCTCGCCTCAGTGCGCATGTTCACTGGTCGTCTTCAGGTCAGCCCCTTCGCCTACGTGGAGAACGCCAGGGAGCTGTGAGGGTGTGTGGTCACGTTCCTGCTGTCTGGACTCTTTTTTCTCTACTTAGACTCATCTGGTAGGTCCACAGGCCAGTCCTCCCGGGGGCTGAAGTTTGAGTGAGGGTGAGGAAGAGGCAGTGGGCTTTGGGCGGGTCCACGGGTTTCAGGGCCTGGTCTGTGGCCTCCGAGGGAAGAGGGACTCATGGCCACCGAAGGAGAAGTGCCGCCTGACCTCCAAGCGTGGGGCTCTGAGGTCGCCCTACTTTAACTCACAGGCTTTGTGGTCGTGAAGGGCCCAAGACAGGGAGGAAGGTAGGCCATGGAGGAGAGGCAGTCAGGGGCTCAGGTGAAGATGGGGCGAGTGCTGGGGGTGATGTTGGAGGGATGGAAGTCCCGAGGTGCTGGGAACCTCTGACACAGGGCCCCTTCCTGAGTACTGAATGGGGGGCAAGGCGGGCGGTAAAGAAGGGGCCTGGAAACTGGGAAAGCTGAAGGCTGGTGAGTGCCCCCCAGCAGTATGAGGTGAGCAGTACCCCAGTGAGAAGCATTGCTAGGTCTCACCTCTGCCGTGCAGGGTCAGGAAACAATGGGAAAGACTGGGCGAGGCTCTGTAGTCCAAACAAACTTAATTTGTCGGGAGTGAATGGCTCTATTAAGTGGGAGTGTGCCAAAAGCAGCGGTCACAGGAATTAGGATTAGCTAGTATATTCATGTGAAGTCAACTTGTGAAACTGAACTTCATGAGAAATGTCCTCTGTCAGCAAGGCCCAGTGGCATGTACCTGTAGTCCAGTTACTCAGTTACTCAGTCCAAGTTACTCAGGACACTAAGAGGGGAGGCTCCCTTGAGCGGGAGGTCGAGGCTGCAGTGAGCATGCTGCTACACTCCAGCCTGAGCAACAGAGGGAGGCCTTGTGTCCAAAAGGAATTTAGAAAAAAATGTCCTCTGCCTTTTGCCACATGCCTTTAGAAGATTGCTCTGCCAGCTTGCCTTGCATAAGTGGCTTTGCATGCACTCAGAAAAGGTACACACGTATGCTTAGCTCTGGGACTTATTTTGGGAATATTTTCCAAATTAAAATGACAAGTTAACATTTAACCATGGAAGTGATCGAATATAGCTGTCCTCTCAAGTGCATGTTCCCAGTCACCGTTTTCTGTTTTCAGTGTGAAATATGAGTTGGTGAGGAAGATCAACCTATTGACCTAGACCAAGATGCTGTGTAGAACCTCCTGAGGTGAGTGGGCCTATGCTGGTGAGCGCTTTAATGTTAATCTGATGTTTTCTATTAGCAGAAGTTATTTTTTGTGATAGTGTTTTTGCATCAGTACATAGACACTGATAAAGGTCTTCATGCTGATAAAAAATGATTATGGTGTCTCCTGAAGGAAACATTGATTCAGGAGGATTTTGTTTTTCTCTTGTATTCTTCAGGTTTCGCACATTACTTCTTTCTCATGCTTTGCTTGTTAATGACAGATTGTACACATCTGTTCTAACACAGAGTATAATAGCTTCTGAAGTCCTTGTTGGTCACTTTATTCGGAGTAACTTTCCTGTGGTAGAGTAACCTCATTAAGCATACTAATGAGGTTAGTTAATAGAGTTGGAGAAACGTCTTTAGGCTTAGTTATGATCAGAAATATCTATGTATTCTGTGTGCATATATATAATCATATATTAATAACAAAACTTTTTTTTATTTGCACACACACACATACACACACACACTCTCTGGCCCGAGCAGTTCAGTGATGAAGAAGTGGAACCACCAAAACCTGAAGAAGGGGAACCAGCAACTCAAAGTCAGATTCCTGTACCTGCTCAGGAGGGAGAGGATGAGGGAGCATCTGCAGGTCAAGGTGAAGGGAAAGGGAAGACGAATAACTGTTGTTGTATGTGTGCATGCATGTGTCTCATGCATTATCATATAGAAGGAACAGGAGGAAAGAAAACAATGGAAAGAATGCCTAAAATTGACTGGAAAAGTGAGGAGGGTATATAGTTTGCAGTTTAGCTTAGGGAAACCCCTCACTATGATGAAATATATCCACTTTATGAATGAGAGGATGGAGGCTCAGAGACTTGGTGAATACAGAATTTGTATTTTGTTTCAAAGTATGTGTCTTCCTACTATCTATGTTGCTTTAAAAAAAAGTAAATGATTTTGCTGAAAATGCTTAAAACTCAAATGCTTTACTGTACTGGCCCAAGAATAGACCAAGTTCAGAGGAGTAGGAGCAACTCCAGAAACAGAATGTTGGCCACCGTTTGTGTGTGTGTGTGTGTGTGTGTGTGTGTGTGTGTGTGTGTGTGTGTGTCTTTTAAATGAATGACAGGTTCTTATGTTGTCCGATCTTGCCTCAAACGCATAGCTTCACCTCCTCAAGCGCCAGGACAACTGGCCTGAGCTACTGTGGCTCTCTTGATTGATACTTTTATATGGTAAGTTTGTTGTGGATAAATCAGGATACTACCATACAGGTGGCTGGTTTAGTGTGATTTTTTTAAGTGCCTTTTATGAGGTGATTAAATCCTTTTATGGTTAGAAAAACCAAAAAAAGGAATTATCCTGAAATTAGCATGAGATAGAAGCAATTTCTCCTAGATAAAATAGTTTGGAACATATCATTTATATAACTTAGGTCATGGATTATTCTAGGGATTTACTGTTAAAGGTTTCTGGAATATGACTGACAACAATGCCCATTAGTTGCTGTCCACCCACTCCTGTATTCTCAGTGTGGGACAGTATATTTGCTGTGATTCACAAACCATGTTACTTTTTGGTGCTTTGTTCTACATGAGGTTCATTTATGGAATATCACATTTAGGACCTTTGAACCTAAATATAACTTTATTTGAAGAAAGTTAACTTTCTGTTGAACCCAATAGGTAATAGATGTCATGACTGTAAGATTTTCCATAGTACTCATTCAGCTAATGAATCCTTAGAAATTTATATTGTAATTGTAACTGAAATCCTATCCATATTGTAGACGTCAGATTTCTTAGCTGATGCCCACTGCTCTTATTGCTGATTGTAAGCATTACACATGTCCTGTGGTTTATGTTTAGATTGTCATTTAAGAGAAAGATCTCAACCTGGGCTGAATGCCATGCACTCATAGTCCCAGCTACTTGGGAGGCTGAGGTGAGAGGATTGCTTGAGCTTAGGAGTTCAAGCCCAGCCTGGGAAACGTAGCGAGACCTCATTGCTAACAAAGAAAGAAAAGAAAGAAAGAGAGAAAGAGAGAAAGAGAGAAAGAGAGAGAGAGAGAGAGAGAGAGAGAGAGAGAGAGAGAGAGAGGAGAGAGAGAGAGAGGAGAGAGGAGAGAGAGAGAGAGAGAGAAAGGAAAGAAAGAAAGAAAGAAAGGAAGGAAGGAAGGAAGGAAGGAAGGAAGGAAGGAAAGAAAGAAGAAAAGGAAAAGGAAAAGAAAAGAAAAGAGAAAAGAAAGAAAAGAAAAGAAAAGAAAAGAAAGAAAGAGAAGGAAAGAAAGAAAGAAAGAAAGAAAGAAAAGAAAGAAAGAAAGAAAAGAAAAGAAAGAAAGAAAGAAAGAAAGAAATACATAAAGGTTTCATGATATAGGGAAACAAACATGCAAAGTTCCTTTCTGTTTGCTGGTAATGTTGCAAACATAACTCTTTACTGAACTGTAACCCTTAAAAATAGTTAAGATGGTAAATTTTATGTTGTGTATTTTTTACCAGTGATTTAAAAAAACTCCTGTCTTTCTAAATTCAGTGTAGACTTATAACTTTTGAGTATATGTAATATATTCTTCTAAATTTTGACTTTATATATTTTCAAGACATAAAATTTATAGAAAATTTCCAGGAATAGTACAATTAAGTCATATATTTTTCACCTAGATTCACCAATTGTTAATAGCTTTTGCTCCATTGGTTTGATATCTTTTCCCTCCCTGAGTTACCCTGCTGCCCACACACTCACACACACATGGATATTATGTTTACTGTTATTAATGGTGAAATGTTTAGATAAAGTTTCAAGTATTATGGCCTTTACCCTGTGTACTTGAGTGTATGTATGTCGTCAGAAGAAAGAACAAGTCATTCCCTGGATCATCACTGCACAAAGATCAAAATCAGGAAGTTTAACAATGTGAAAATGCAGTCTTTTCATACACAGTGTATACTCAAATTTTTCCAGGTATCCAAAAAATTCCTTTTTTCTTTTTTTTTAAATACAGAGTCTCACTCTGTTGCTTAGGCTGGAGTACAGTAATGCAATCTAGGCTCACTGCAACCTACACATCCCAGGTTCAAGGGATTCTAATGCCTTGGCCTCCTGAGTAGGTGGGACTACAGTTGCCAGCCACTGTGCCTGTCTAATGTTTCTCCTTTTTTTGTATTTTTAGTAGATATGGGTTTCACCATGTCGGCCAGGGTGGTCTTGAACTTCTGACCTCACCTGATCTGCCCACCTTGGCATCCCAAAATGCTGGGATTACAGGCGTGAGCCACCGAACCTGGCCCAGATAGTTTCCTTTACAGAATTTTTTGTTTCTAATCCAGAGCCCAGTTCAGGATCATGTCTTGCATGTACTTGTCATGTGTTTTTAGTTTATTTTAATCTGGAATAGTTCCTTAATTTTTCTTTGTCATTCATGATATGGACATTTTTGAAGAGGATAGACCAGTTGTTTTGCAGAATGTTCACCAGTTTGGGTTTTTTCGTGTATTTTTTTAAGACCATTTTTCACTCATCATTTATTGGTGGCTACTGATGCTATATAGGAGTCTAAGTGCTATGAGAGACAGGATTTCAGCCTTGAGTCATTTAATACGATAAGGACACTCAGAAGTCCAATAACAGAGAAATGCAAAGGAGGCAACAAAGTTGTCTGAGGGCAGTATTTGGGCTGGAAGAGGGTAATATTTAGAAAACTGTTTTCCTGTTTTCTGCCAACAGTCTCCTGAAATAATGTGCTTCGGATTCTTATCAATACATTTAGTATTACACTAACTAAAGGTTTTATTTAATAACACCAAGAGCATGAATATTATTTCTTTATCTTCATGTTTTACTGTCTAAATTTATATATATGTAAATATATAAATATATAATATTTAAAAATAAGATATATATTTTATTTTTAAGGGCCAGAGCCTGAAGCTGATAGCCAAGAACAGGTTCATCCAAAGACTGCATGTGAACATGGAGATGATCCT